CTGGCGACAACGTCACAGTCCAGCTGCGGCCCGGCCTCCGAGTGCGGCGCTCTGACAACGGCAGAGAGGAGGAGGCGGGCGGACACGAATGGCAATTTCACATCAGAGGCAAAACCGAGTCGATCGGCGAAAGGGATATTTGGCCGCACTCGTATTATCGGTTGCACGATGGAAAGCAGGAGGCTGAGAAGCAGCCGGCGCCGATGGACCGATACCGCACGCTGCCGACGTGGTCAGCCAAGTGGAGGCCGTCAGCCGAGGGGGAAAAGGCGGCCTTGGAGGGGAGGAAGGAAGACATTGGCACGGGGGACGAGGAGCTCTATTTCTTCGGCGTTGGGCGGTATTTTGCAGACGAAATCGGCCAGAGCGTCATCACCACTCGAGAGGGACGTCATGTGTCCATCTGCGCTGATAGGTGACGCCGATGTATCCTACTGGAGCGCAGCACGACCGCCTTCGAGGAGATCGTCACACTGCAGGAGCTGGTCGACACCATGGCGGCCCGGAACGTGACTCTGACGACAGACAGCAACGCCAACGCGACCGACGTGGCCTTGTATGTGCGGGTGGTGCAGGTCAAGGGCGACAGTGAGCTGCTCAGGCCATCCAAGGCACTCAAGGGTATGACGGCCACACGAAATGTAACACAGACCATGCTGGGTGTGTCGCTGTCTTTGTCTGTAATCAGTGCCGCTGGTTGTGTCGTCTCGCGACGAGGAGAGTGGTGCTGTGAGTTTGTCCCCTCCCCTCTCTGCAGTGGCCTGCCGCTGCTACCAGCCCGACATCGGCCTGAGGGAGCACCTGGGCAGACCAAAGCCGGAGCGGGAGAGCCCCGTCGTCGACATGGCGGCCGTCAGTGAGTGCGCCAGGGAATGTGCCGACAGCGACAAGTGCGAGACATTCTTCTTCTTCGAAGACACCGGCGAGTGTGAAATGAACGAGAAGAACTATGAGAGCCATCGAGAGCTGCACTCGCTCGGAGGGGTCGTCTCTGGGCTGTCAGCGTGCGTACAAGAAGAACTGGCCTGACATCTTGAAAAAGGCCGGCATTGTGTCAGGACCTTTTGTTTTCGACATTGTATGGCATTTGACGTGTGTGGTCCTCGGATGTCAGAACTGCTGAGGGAAGAAACTTGATCCAGCAACTGAGCTGCCCTAGTGTTACCAGCTGACCTGGGGAGGGGCACAGAGGGAGGAAGACAATGACGGGTGCTGTTGGTCCCCTTTGCATCGTGACGGCAAAGTCATGCCTGCCTGTCTGTCTGTCTGCCTGCCTGCGTGTCTGCATGGGAAGCGTTGTTTTTCGCCCTCCTTGTGTGCCGACACTTTGGGTCTGCAAGGCGGGAGTAGAGGAGAGGAAGAGAGAATGAGGAGTCTTCGAAAGCATGCAATGCCATGCCATGCGATGAAGCGCCACGCCAATGCCGGACGTGACGCGCACATTCTGATGAGTGCCACGCGTGTCTCCCTCCCTCTCGTCTCCGCTTTATGGCCCTCCGCTTCTGTGTGAGATGAAGTGTGTATGTTTGTTCTCCCTCGTGCCTCGTGTGGGAATTGGAAGGCTTGTCTGTCTGCTCGTGAGACATTTGCGGGACCGCATCAAGTTGATAATTAATTGAAGAGGGTCGAACGCTGAAGGCTGCCGACTGACGTCGCTTCAATACTTCATTATTCGCACACGACGCATACTTACTTCACGTGGAGAACGACATATGTGGTTGTCTCGGGCGGCAGCCAGAAATGCTTTTCCGCAGGGGGACGTAGTTGCGGATCCTCCTGGCCATCGGATGGGCCTCGACTCCCTTTCAATCTACTTCCACCGGCCACGTGTGAGTGAATCAGGAGCACACGCACCCTTCGGGGTGAAGGACTGACGAAAAGCTTTTGCTCCTTGCCATGTTGACAATGCCTTTGGCATCCGAAGAAGTTCTATGGCACTGAGGGCCTTTATGATCAGTGGCGTCGTGTGGGTGGGACCGACTCATGATTGACCTGTCAGTGGCATCTGGGGATTCATTTGGGGAAGAAACCATACAGCGTCCCACGGTGTTCGCATCACAAAATACTGCCATTCGATACTAATGTGTTGTGTAGGCAGTAGCGGGCGGAGAACCACACACACACACACACACGGAGACATTCGCATATTGGGGCTCACGCTCCTCCCTTCACCAAAATGGGACCCTTTTGGGTTCCATTCAACAGACAAGAGGACTGACTGACAGGCGCAGCATCAACCAAGAGGGGCATGCATCAAGCACCACATACACGAAGAGGGACGGCAAACACACGAGAAAATGGGTGAGAAGCAAAGAAAGACGAAAGACTCTCAGGAAGAAATGTGTGTGTGTGTGTGAGAGAGAGAGAGGGAGAGAGAGAGAACACGAAAGAGCTTTAGAAACGACTGTCTGATGCAAATGTGTGCACGCAGTATGACAATGTTGACGGAACAGCAGGTGTTGGGATGCCTGTCACGTCATAGACAGCGACGGCTCTCATACGAACACCTTTGATGCTGCCATGCATGCGTTCACGCAATCACTGAACCAAAGCAGCAAACGGCAGACTGAGAAAAGGACCTCACGCACTCATCGACACGGCAAACTACATGGGGCGACTAACCAAGCTGACCAGCTGACTTGAAAAACCGCTCACATTCTCCAGCCGGACCCTTCATTGCTGAGGAACTTCGCCTTCTCTGAAGCGGGAATCGTGACTGCAGGCACACACATCCATACGAAGTCATCCACGTGGCTGTCCAAGTCTAGTTGCCTGTTGTCGACAGCTTACATTGCACTTCGATGTCCTTGCCCTCGATGTTTGCGTTGAAGGGGATGGCGGCGAGTGTGAATATTCCCGGCGAGCCGATGGCCTCATTGGCGGCTTTGGTGAAGGGTGCTTTCAGAGCCATTGTCTCCCAGCCAGCGGGCGGCTCGCTGTTGCCGAAGGCCGTGAATGCTTGGTTCTTGGCGCCCTGGGTGGCCCTCTCGAGATAGGGAGGATCTCGTATGCTGAGCAGCAAGGCCATCAAATTGTGCGTGTGAGGACGTGTGCGTGTGTGTGGGTGCCTTACGTGTCCCAATCCATGAAGTTTCCCTTACACACCACACACAACAGAGCCAGAGCAAACACGTATCATCAAGTACGATTCATAAGTGTCTCTGCCCACTTGGTAGTCAAAGAGGAGGAACTGGACGGCTGTGACGCAGGCCGACTCGGGGACGGCCGTGAAGGTGAAGT